AGCAGGGAGCAGCTAAGCTTGGAAACCAATGTCTGCTGCAGTGGGGTCTCCGGCATTGCCTGATTGGCTGCAGCAGCCTCAGAGGCTGGCCAATTTGCAAGCGGCTGGCACGCAAGAGAGAACTGGCTGTGGGTTCAGAGTGTTTCCTACCTGTTCATTTTGTTCTGAGATGGAGATTGAGACTGTTAGCCCAGGCTGGCCTCAAACTCACAATCCTCTTGTCTCGCCTCCCGACTGATGAAATTACAGGCATTTGTCACCACCACCCATTCTTCTAGCATTTTAGGCTCTGAATTGAACTCTTTGGCTCCCTCAAAGCAGGTCCCTGGGATACTGGGCTTGTCTAGTTTTCTTTTTCTTTGCCATTCATCCACATAAATAAACCCCAGCCAAGATGGCCCATCATGACTGATTGGTTAAAAAAAAAAAAAAAGAAGCAGATTTGGAGGCAGGGATACCTGTGTGTACATGTAATCCCAGCACCCAGGAAGCTGAAACAGGAGGATTGTGGTGAATTTGAGGCCAGCCTGGCTTACATAGAGAGACCCCATATAAAACACTTCACAGATAGAAGTCTCGACCTCTCTGCTGTGGAGACTCATCTCGAGGTCATGTCTGCTTTCAAACACTCTCTTCAGTGACTTCGAGGTTGTGTTCATTATTTTTCAGTTATTATGATAAAATTCCTGTCAAGAGCCGGGCGGTGGTGGCACACGCCTTTAATCCCAGCACTCAGGAGGCAGGAGGCAGAGGAAAGCAGATCTCTGCGAGTTCGAGGCCAACCTGGTCTACAAGAGCTAGTGCCAGGACAGGCTCCAAAGGTACAGAGAAACCCTGTTTCAAAAAACAAAACAAACAAACAAAAAAATTCCTGACAAGTGAAACTGAAGAAGGGGTTTATTTTGACTCAGAGTTTGGGAGTACAGTTCAAGAAGAAGGAGGAAGAGGAGCATGAGGAGGAGAAGGAGGAAGAGAAAGAAAGAAAGAAAGAAAGAAAGAAAGAAAGAAAGAAAGAAAGA